TACCAAAACAGAGATGCAGACCAATGGGAAAGAACAGAGGCCTCAGAGGCAACACCATACATCTACAACCATTTTATCTTTGACACACCTCACAAAAACAAGCAATGGGGAAAGGATTCCCTGTTTAATAAATGGTGTTGGGAAAATTGGCTAGCCATATGCAGAAAGCAGAAACTGGACCCCTTCCTGACACCTTACACTAAAATTAACTCCAGATGGATTAAACACTTAAACATAAGACCTAACACCATAAACACCCTAGAAGAAAACCTAGGCAAAACCATCCAGGACATAGGCATAGGCAAGGAATTCATGATTAAACCACCGAAAGTATTGGCAGCAAAAGCCAAAATAGACAAATGGGACCTAATTAAACTCCAGAGCTTCTGCACAGCAAAAGAAACCATCATTAGAGTGAATCAGCAACCAACAGAATGGGAAAAATTTTTTGCAATCTACCCATGTGACAAAGGGCTAGTATCCAGAATATTCAAAGAACTAAAACAGATATACAAGAAAAAAACAAGCCCATACAAAAGTGGGCAAAGGATATGAACAGACACTTTACAAAAGAAGACATATATGAGGCCAACAAACATGAAAAAATGCTCACCATCACTGGTCATTAGAGAAATGCAAATCAAAACTGCATTAAGATACCATCTCATCCCATTTAGAATGGTGATCATTTAAAAATCTGGAGACAACAGATGCTGGAGAGGATGTGGAGAAATAGGAAGACTTTTACACTGTTGGTAGGAGTGTAAATTAGTTCAGCCATTGTGGAAGACAGTGTGGCAATTCTTCAAGGACCTAGACATAGAAATTATATTTGACCCAGCAATCCCATTACTGGGTAGGGAAAACACAAGTGCTGCTGGAATATCTTAAGGAAATAATTGAGGCTGCAGAACACAAATCTATGGGGTCACTAATCCTAAGACTGTGATTTTTGCCTATTGATGATCAGCCTAAAAAGCACAAATGAGGCTAGCAGTGATGGCTCATGCCTGTAGTCCCAGCATTTCGGGAAGCTGAGGTGGGCAGATCACGAGGTTAGGAGTTCAAGACCAGCTTAGCCAACATGGTGAAACCCCAGTTTTACTAAAAATACAAAAATTAGCCAAGCACGGTGTGGGCGCCTGTAATCCCAGCTGCTTGGGAGGCTGAGGCAGGAGAATCACTTGATCCCTGGAGGTGGAGGTTGCAGTGAACCAAGATCAAGCCATTGCACTCCAGCCTGGGCAACAGAGCAAGACTCCATCAAAGAGGAAGAGACAGAGAAAGAAAAAGAAAGCGAGGAAAGAAAGAAAAAAAGAGAAAGAGAAAGACAGAAAAAGAAAAAGAAGAAAGACATAAAGACGGAAAGAAAGAGAGAGAGGGAGGGAGGGAGGGAGGGAAATGAAACGAAAGGAAAGGAAGAGAGAAAAAGAGAAAGAGAGAAGGAGAGGAGAGAATGAGAAAGAAAGAAACAGAGAAAGAGAGAGAGAGAGACAGAGAGAGAGAGAGAGAGAGAGAGAGAGAGAGAGCGAGAGCGAGAGCGTGCAAGCACAAATGAAATATAAAAGAGCAAAGAAACCGAGGACATTGGTCAGAAAGTGGCTGAAGTGATGGATCACTGAAATGAGAGCAACAGATAGAGGAGCTTAGAAAGCAGACCAGGAAGTGGAAGCCAGGGTTTTCTTCTGAAAGGTGTACCACAACTTCTTCAAAAGAAAAGCACACAGGCTATGCCCAGGCTTCATCACAAACGATTAGAAATTAGAAAGATTAAGACAGAGTTAAGGGTTTAAAAAAAATACATTTTAATGTTCTGAACTTATTCTAACAAGACAAAAATATAGTTTATAGAGGAAAAATATGATTTTCTCTTGCTACCCTCTCCCAATCCTATTCACCTAAGAACATTTTTGTATGTGTGTATCCTTCCAAATCTCTAACCACACAAACATATATTTTCTACGTGATCATATTAACATCTCTCTGAAATGTGTTCCTTTTCTAATTAATCTAGCATAAAGATTATTCCTAATCAATACATGTAACCTTAAAGGCATTATTTTTATAGATGGCAAATACTGCATAGTATAAATATATTTGTTTAGCCCATTCCATATTACTGAACATATAAATATTTTTCAATTTCTTGCTATAATAAAAAACATCCTCATACATGTAAATACTGGCCCTTTTGTTTTGGTAGGAGGGACCTAACTGTGAGACAGCAAGTCAAAGAATGTGGGCTGTGCCTGTGCGGACTGTACCTGCAGCATTCCACATCCTCACCACAGGGGATGCAGGAGGCCATTTCTCCATCCCTCCAGCAGCATCTCTTGTGCTTTTCAAATTTTGCCCTTAAATAAGTATTTACTTGTATGGAGCATCATTTTAACGTTTTGTTTTGACAACATTCATTTCTCTTCCAAGCAGTTCCAAGAATGTGAACTGCTTATTCACATTCTTGTCTATTTTTCTATTAGATTGTCTGTTTCCCTACTTAAAAATTAGGGTTATCAAACCTTTGACTGTCAAATGTGAACATAACATTTAAAAGCTGTCCAAAAAAAAAAAAAAAAAAACCACTTCAAGCCTTGAGAGAGATGTGACTGTGATTTGAGTCACATATGGTTACAACTTTCATTCTCAGATTATAGATTAACTTGCTTTTTTATTTTTCTTTTTCCATACAATAACTAGAGAATTAAACAATGTCAGGAACAAAAACCTCCTGTCTTATTTTTTCCCCAGAGACCCGGTCTCACTCTGTCACCCAAGCCTACAGTGGCAGAATCACGGCTCACTACAGCCTTGAACTCATGGGCTCCAGCAATCCTTCTGCCTCAGCCTCCAGAGTAGCTGAGACTACATGTGTGAGCCTGCCTTTGTAATTAACAACCCCTGTATTAACGTTCCCTTTGTTGTTTTACTTTGCTTAGATCAGACTATGGAAAACCATTATTACACCCTCTGTTAAAAAAAGTTAAATGTACCCTTCCACCTATAACAATCAAACCACTGTACCTATGTGCCAACCAGTAGGAATAATGTTGTATTCCCACTAAAAATTCCTCTAGTCTCTGCCTATGTGAATGAAACCTAAACTTCCCTACTTCCAAAGGCTGACTTCATTCCTTTGGAGTTGGTGTTTCTGAGTGGTCCACTCTCTTGCTTCATGCTTGAATAGATGCTCTTTAGATTCTGATCTTTTTGATTATTTGAACACATATGTGTGACAAAGTATTTTGACATAATTTACGTGGTATTCTGTCAGAATTTTTTAACTTTTATGTATTTAAATATGTTGATATTTTCCTTTATTTCTTGTGCACTTCCTTTCTGGTCTCTGAAGGTCTTCTACACCTCAAAACTATAGTCTCCTGAAATTACTGGCTAGCCATGTGCAGAAGGCAGAAACTGGACCCCTTTCTGACACCTTACATTAAAATTAACTCCAGATGGATTAAAGACTTAAACATAAAACCTTACACCATGAAAACCCGAGAAGAAAATCTAGGCAAAACCATTCAGGACATAGGCATAGGCAAGGACTTCATGACTAAAATACAAAAAGCATTGGCAACAAAGGCCACAACAGACAAATGGGACCTAATTAAACTCCAGAGCTTCTGCACAACAAAAGAAACAGTCATTAGAGTGAACCAGCAACCAACAAAATGGGAAAAAATTTTTGCAATCTACACATCTGACAAATGGCTAATATCCAGAATCTACAAATAACTAAAACAGATTTATAAGAAAAAAAACCCATTTAAAAGTAGGCGAAGGATATGAATAGACACTTTACAAAAGAAGACATATATGAGGCAGATAAACATGAAAAAAATGCTTATCATCACTGGTCATTAGAGAAATGCAAATCAAAACTACATTGAGATACCATCTCATGCCAGTTATTATGGCGATCATTTAAAAATCTGGAGACAACAGATGCTGGAAAGGATGTGGAGAAATAGGAACACTTTTATACTGTTGGTGGGAGTGTAAATTAGTTCAACCATTGTGGAAGATCATGAGGCAATTTCTCAAGGACCTAGAAATAGAAATTCCATTTGACCCAGCAATCCCATTACTGGGTATATATCCAAAGGATTATAAATTGTTCTATTATAAGGACACATGCACACGAACGTTCACTGCAGCACTGTTTACAATAGCAAAGACTTGGAACCAATGCAAATGCCCATCGATGATAGACTGGATAGAGAAAATGTAGCACATATACACCATGGAATACTATGCAGCCATAAAAATCAATGAGTTTGTGTCCTTTGTAGGGACATGGATGAACCTGGAAACCATCATTCTCAGCAAACTGACACAAGAACAAAAATCAAACACTGCATGTTCTCACTCATAGGCAGGTGTTGAACAATGAGAACACATGGACACAGGAAAGGGAGCCTCACACACTGGGTTCTGTGGCGGGGAACTAACGGAGGCACAGTGCGGGGTGGGGAGTTGGGGAGGGAGAAATGCCAGATATAGGTGATAGGAGGAAGGCAGCAAACCACATTGCCATGTATGTACCTATGCAACAATCTTGCATGTTCTTCACATGTACCCCAAAACCTAAAATGCAATAAAATATATATTTTAAAAAATTAATAATTGAATAGAGATAGTGCTGGTGCATTTTCTGGGATGCAGTTCTTAAGCTCTTAATATATGGTGATAATATCACGTTAGTGAAATATGGAGGCTACTGTATATAGAAACAGGGAAACCCTATAGAACCATTTGGTGGCATTGATAATGTTATTTCCATTACTGCAGTGAGTTATCTTTATAATGAAATCTTAGAGACATTCATGTGTGTTAAGTATGCCAGAGGAAATATTGAAATATGTGTTTTATATTCTTTCAGAAATTATTCTCAAATTTACCCATGTGTTACATTGTTATTGATAAAAGTCATTAAGAGCAGGAAGCCATCGTGACTTTGCACACAGCTTCCTTCTCTCACTTGCATAGTGACTTACCCGTGATGGCCAGCTGAGTCACAAAGAAGATCATTCTTGACTTCCTCTTTCTCCTCCATGTGGAAAAAAGCACAACGGAGTTTCCAACGATGGTAAAAATAAAGAGGACCCACAGAGTTATCAATTGCTCAGTCTGTAAGAAACAGAGAAAAATAAAACCAGCGTGCCAGTGAGAACCAAGGTTCTTTATAGAATGCATGGCCCAGGCTTTGGTGCCAGATTTCTTCCTCCTGATCCTATATCCCTACCTTTGGAAGCTCTACTCTCAAGAAAACAATGACAAAATTGTCTTCATTTACACCAGCTGCAGAGTAAATTAATGCACCTTTAAAAATTTTTTTGGAAATGTAAGTCAAGAGATAAAAAGTTTGTATTCTTTGGTCAAGTAATTTTAACACTATGTGGAAGGTCAAAATTTAAAAAAGAACACCACTGTCATAAAGATGTCCATTATTACATCCATCTAATTTCTTTTTGCAAAAAGAAATTAGAAATTGTTTAAAGATAATAGGATAGCTAAGTAAATCAAGCACTTCGATTCAGTGAACTGTTACAGCATAGCTATTAACAATGACAAACATGAAGACTATGTAGCAATATTAAAAATACCTATAATATAATGGTAAGTGGGAAAACATAATAAAATCATATGCTAGGTATGATTACAACTCTGTAAAATTATATACTTAGGAAAAAGGCTGAAGTAGAGTAAATGTTAAAAGTGGTCATTTTAGAGTAGTGTAATTATGGGCTATCTTTTCTTTTATTCATTTGACAGAATTTTATAAGGTGGTTACATTAAAGTTCTACTGAAGAATGTTTCTGTGGTTTGAATGTGTCCTCCAAGGTTCATGTGTTGAAATTTAATCCCCAAAGCAATGGATTTAATGTAGAACCTTTAAGAGGTGATTAGATCATGAAGGCTCTGCCCTCAGGAATGGATTAATCTTGTTATTGTGGGAGTGGGTTAATTATTGCAGGAGTGGGTTCCTGATAAAGGAATGAGTTCAGTTCCCTCCCCTTGTCCCTCTCTCACCATCCCTCATCCACTTACTTTCTGCCATGGAATGATGCAGCAAGAAAGCCCTCACCAGATACCAGCACCTTTCCAGCCCCTGGCACTGTAGAAATAAATTACTTTTCTTTATAAAGAAGAGTAATAAATATAGTATACTCTTATACTATATACTAAATATAGTATATAGTATAAAGAGTACTATATTACTCAGTCTTTGAGTATAAAACATAAAACAGATAAAGACAGCATAAAACAGATTAAGACAAATGATGAATTAGCAAAAAAGAGAAAAAAAGCAGGAATGCTATTAATCTAACAGTCCTTCTAATAAATTATTAACATCTTCATGAGTACTACACTTTATCAATCTGATATTTAGGCTCTCTAACCTGGATTTACAGATCTATTTCTAAGATCCCAGGTGGAAGTCAGGGCCTTGGAACTGCAGATCTGTGGATATGAGGATAGGCATTGTAGTGATGTGGAGGGAGGATCATGGCTGCACAACTAGAGAGTGAGGGTGATAGGGTTGGAGGACTCTGCAGGTATATCATGTCCATGCATGTATCACTTCCCACTTGGAGGGCAGCATCTTTGCTCAGCTTCAAGCCATACACTTTTTCTCTGGTTCTTTGATGACTAGAGGTGTATCTTTCTGGATAACTCATTTCTCTAGCAGTGTTGAAATGAGTGCTAAAGCATCAGGAAAAAAAAAACTATTATGCAAAGGACTATACTGAGTAGAGGGAGTGAATTTTTGTAAGAGAATTCTCCCCTTTGAGATGGATTGACAACAATGTTGTCAGTAGCAGATACAGCAGGAGAGGCCTTTGATGTAGACTGACACTTCCTATTCAGGTGGTGTGTCAGCAGTGGGACATACACAAGTCATTTAATTTGGAAGACCTCTTAAAAAGCTATGAAACAACTTACAGAGTAACATAAGCAGCCAGGTGGCCTGGAAGTCTCCATCAGAAGGTCTTACTGACACCATGGTGCTGACAGATGAAACAATTCAGGGCCAGGGTGGGGGATAATGTGTCTATGTTCCTCATATTGTTCTAATACAGTGTTCTATCAGGGAGGATGATGGTGCCCTGGGGGTATCTAGGTTCAGGAAAGAGCCCATCAAGCAGGTGGCCTGGCAGGTAAGGTATGACAGAAGGCCATCAAATACTTTTGGTCTCTGGAATAAGCTTCCGTGTGGATGACCCAATGCCTGTGTCACAGCCCTCCTGTGCCATGATCTTCAGTAGTTCCCTCTTTTCCCCTTTCCTTGTTAACATTCTAAGTCTTCTAAGAAAGGGCCCCATTCTTACAGAAGGTTTTCCACCTGTGTAGCATGAGCTTGGCTCTGAGTAGCAGCACATGGGGAGGGTTTTGGAAAGTATTTCTCAAAGTATGGTCCATGGCTAGGGTAATTATGTAACCTGGTTTGCCTAGGGCAGTCCTAGTTGTCAACTGTTGTCCCAAGATAATTATTTAAATTACCTTTCATCTCAAAAAGTGTCTTTGGTTAGATAGTAAATTATATATAATCACCCTGTACATGGCTCCCAACGGGTGGGCTCCAAATACTATAGCCTAGTCTATATCAATACCTAAAAATGTATCTCTCTCTCTCCCTCTCTCAGCTTTGATTTAGGGCATTTAGAGGTTTGGGTCAGTTCATGATGTGATGTGGGGTCCCTGGAGACTTTTCAAGAACTATGCTCATTGAATATGGCACTTCAACACTAGAGTTGAAGGAGTCCACAACTCTAGTGGGTCACCTATATCCAGTTCCACAACCCCATGCTGGAGGCTTGGGATGGCCTCATATTCCTGGCTAAGGCCACCGTATATGTCTTTGGCACTGCTAAGAGGCCCAAGAAGTGTTTCAGCACACTGCCTGGCTGGAAAAGAGGTGCTATCTCCTCTGCTGGTGCTGCTATTCATCCATGTAGGAGAAGAAACTGAATCCACAAGGCCCTGCATACCTCTACTTATCTTGTAGTTGCTTGATATTGCAACATGTTCATGAATGTGGGGTAAAGGGTGTCCTAAGGTCAAAGTGAACAGCAGTTGACTGGAGCTAAAACTGTCAAAGGGGCAAAGTTTCCTCCTCTCCTCACCTCTGTGGCCACAATTACAGGAAAATTTAGCTGTGCATCAATTTGCTATGGCACCTGAGGGCTGGGACCTTCCTCCAGGAATGAGAAACCAAGAAGGATGTTGGCATTTCCCATCCTGGTAAAGGGAAGATTGAGACCCAGCTATCCCTCAGGTTGGCACTTCAGCTGCGGAAGGCAGCAGGGCAGATCTTAAGCCTGTAGAATGAAAAGCTGAAAGGGTCCCAAGGGACTGTGCCAAGAAGTGGAAGAAATCAAGATTTTAGGATTATGCAGACAGTCTATCTGACACAAAGACCTAAAGGAGCTAAGCAAAGAAATGGCACCTAGCCAGGAGGTGAGCTGGAAACTGGGGCTATCACACAGGCCGAGATCTCAGGGCAGCTTGTTGTGGTTTTAGATGGGAGGGAGCTGGGAGGGGCATCTTACAAAGTGTCTTTCTCAGGATAATAAATTACATCAGAATACATCCTAGAAAACAAAATTATAAGATACGGAAGAAATTAAACATTACTCACTTACAATTTGGGGGTACATAATTCCAAAACTAAATTTCTCAATACCTGTGTATCATTTTTCTTGCCCTCCTGCCCAGAAATTGGGGCTTTTCGTCAGGGTTTTATTTTGGAACTTGCTTTTTTCTTACACCACAACATACAGATTCAAGAGCTTCCTGGTATTTGACATATATCACTTTATTTAATCCTCACAGCAGCTAAAGAAGTGTGTGTGTTTGTCTCAGGTTTACATAGGCAACTGAAGATCGAAAAAGTTGACCTGGGGTCAAAGGAGATCTATATAAGCCCAGTTTTCTTGACTTTGTCATTTAGACTTCTGTGCAATTAAAACATGTAACTTCACCTGGTCACTTTAGTGGCTGCCTACTTCCCAGTATTTGAGTACACTGTAATTTACTCAACTGATGCTCTGTTTTTGGACATTAAATTTTAGCTATTTTTTCCAATCATAAATAATACTGTGATAAACATCCATCATATATGCCTCATTCATGAGTAAAAATTCCTAGATATGAAAGATTAAAGTAAAATAAGTAGATTTTTAAGGTTTTGCATACGTATTCATTTTTGTTAAGAAATATTTGGAGAGGGGGGATCCAAGATGGCCAATTAGACACAACTCCAGCGCACAACACCCAGCAAGAGAGAAGCAGAAATCCCGAGATCTCCTAGCTCCAACTGAGATACCAGGTGCATTTCAACAGGTCTGGTCCTAAGGTGAGCAAAGCCCACTCAAGGCAGACTGAGGCAGGGAGGGGTGCTGTTTCACCCAGAAAGTGCATCTGACCAGCGAGTAAGAGGGTCCCCATCTGGTGCTCTGGTCCAGATACAGCACTTCCCCCAAAGCCTCAGCAATACACAGTACAGGGGATCTTTGCCAGTTAAGCACCAGGAATTTACAAGCACAGAGTTGAATAAGAAGCCAGGATGGTGTCCCGGATTTGTGCACAGACCTAAACAGACACATAAGCCCAAAAGGTAGCCAGGAGAGCCTGCAGACTGAGCTATCGCACCCTCCCCCTGCCCGGAGAGAGAGGGAGCTGTAAGTGGGAGCAGCTGGGTGGGCCCCTACCCGGAGAGAGAAGCTGAAAGTGGGAGAAGGTGGGGCGCAGCTGGGAGGGTCCCTACCCTCCTCCACAAACCCCAGAGGGCTGAAGCTCTGACTCTAGTGGGTTGCACAGCCAGAGCCACAGTCTGAGCTGAACGCTGAATAATCCAGCCCAGTGGAGGAAGGGCACAACCCACTGTTAGAGGGGTTGGACTGGGCTACATGTTTTAACAAAAAACTCAGGAAGCCTACATAGCAATGGGACAGCGTTCTGGCAACCCAGCAGTACCTACAGGTCAGCACAAGAGGCGAGCCTAATCTCCTGGTATTAACAAAAAAGACACAGGAAGCTTCCCTAGTAACCTGAAGGAGTCCCTAAGAAACCCAGTAGCGCCTCCACAGGCAGACAAGTGACCTCATCAAGCAGCTCCCTGACAT